GCTTTATGCTGAGTGCAGTGCTGTGCAGTGCACTGCAGTGTAGTGTAGTGCAGTAGATCTCCACTGGTTAATCAAGGAAGCCCTGTCTTCCTGTCTTTCCGATTCCGGCTTTGACATCCTCATCTGTGCCACCTGTGGTTGAAAAAATGATCCTGCCTTGATAGGTAGGTGAAAGAGACAACTTCCTTAAGATCTCTCCTTCTGACGGTGATTGGTTCCCGTTGTTGCTGTTGTTGTTGCTTGGTTATCTTCATCACCTCTGTCTTCTCTACGTTCACCTGAAGTAAGTCCCGTCCTCCTTCGCTGCCTCGCCTCTTCTACCAACTTGTTAGTTTTCGTCTGTGCATCTTCGAGCTTGAGCAACAAGACATTAGACATAAATCATCGTCGGTGGTGAAATCCAAATCTTCAAGGGTTTTTTCATCGGCCTTCTCAAACAGCGTATGCCTATCTTCTCACAGCTCCTCATAGTTTGTTGCATGATCCAGTCCAGTCGACTCGACCACAATCAGGAGGATGATCGTTGATGACAGTAGGCGACAACCTTGTCTTCACTTCAAAGGCATCATCACTCACCTTTCCATTGTGAATCACTTGGCATGTAGCCTCATCATATAGCATAGCATATAGCTATTGAATGAGGTTGATAAAGGTTTGTGACACTAAAACCGTAGTGTTGAAGCAGTTTGCAAATTACTGCTTGATCAACGCTGTCGAAGGCGTTTTCAAAGTGGATGAAGTTGAGGTGAAGAGTTGACTGTTATTCCATACTCTGCTCTATGGTGATGCGTAGCGTTGCAATTTGATCCGCATGAAACGATGTATAGAAATCCGTAATTGTATCCTGAAGATTATAAGATCTTTTTAAATGTCTACTGTTACTAGTGAAATTTAACTGCTCGACTCAAATTGTATTTAATAAATTCATTTAAGATTTTAAAAAACTGAGCAATACTCAAATGATTATGAAAACTACCATTACTGAAAGAGTATCTGATATATGACTAAAGAAATCATTAAGTTTAAGGCGATTCCTAATCAAATTACCTTCTACCTACGATAGCCGTCATTACTCATAAAATAAGATGACTTATCGATGATAGACTGCTGCTTAATGAATGTTTAACATTATTTTTATCAATGAACTCAGTCGACGAATGTGATTTTGAAAGGTTAGATTACTTTTACTATGGCTATAGTGATATATTCTACAAACTGTAAACATTACACTTTATGAAAGTATGTACATATAATCAATTAAGTATTTACTGGACAGAATTGTCCATTGAACTCAATTCTACACAAACAGACTGGGCATACATCTTACGTCTAGCATTCAAAGAACTTGCATTTAAGCAGAAGAAATTGAATTTCTGAGAGTAGTAACTAATCGAAATTAAATACAAAGAAATATTTGAAAGTGAAATTGTCAATTATTAAATATCTGTGAATAAACATAAACTGGATTAAAACTTGAAATTGAAACAGTGATATCAATAATGAGGTAACAAAGTAAGATTAATGAAACTTGTCAAGCAAACATTCAATTATCAAAATCAACATAGGACCAGGCATTACTGAATAACGTCTAAGTGGCCACATCACCTATCAGTACGTCAAGTAAGAAAACAATAAAATGAAAGATGAAGAAGGAAGGAAAAATCGGTTGAAAAGAAGTAGTAGTCTAGCTGCCCTGAGCGTTTTTTCAGCATGAACCTACTTCGACGAACATTGTGTGATGAGGCAATCGGTGACTAGGCATACGTAACACATTTCCCAGCCATTTCAGTCGATGAGGGTTCATAACCTCGTCAACAGATTTACCTCTACTCCCTAAAACTCTATACCTGACGTCTGCGTTACTCACGTGGTGACACCATAGAATACGCCTAGTATTACGAAAGCAACGGTGGCCAAACACTTGAAGCCTTCTCATGTCTTCCACCTTCAATGGCCATGTTTCACAGCCATACAGTAGAACAGACCGGACTGCTGTGAAGAACACGCGACCCTTAATAGACAATCAGATATCATGGCGGCGCCACAGGTGACATAAGTTGGCAAAAACCAACCAAGCCTTTTGTATCCGTGTAGAAATTTTGTCAACCACTGAGTCACCAGGGCTGAACCGGTTTCCTAGTTAATTGAAGTGTTTAACGGATTCAACCACTTCACTATCTGTTGTTGGCCGGAATATTCCACACCAAGACTCTGCAAATCCCTTACGCTAGTTATCCAAAGATGAACACTCACATGAAGGAGAAAAAGCTGTTCCTGAAGGTTAATTTAGTGTGCATAGAATCGATTCACCTGTTTTTCTATCTACAGGCATTTGTTGTTGGCGATGCGAACAACTCACAAATGGCTTAGAGTAAGGGTGAATACGAAACAATCAAAATTTTCCTGCTATAATATTTGATTGAGAGCAGAACACCAGTTTCCTTGTGTTGTTTGCAGATACGCCTTCCTAATAAGTGTCCACAAACACATAACCAAAGTCCATGGCTTTATGTCCACTGACTACCAGAGGATGCACTATTTCCAAAGATTCATTCAGCATAACCCAATGAACGTAAAAGAGAATTTTTCACACGCCTACTATGAATTGCTAAGACTTTAATAATATAGAATTGAAATCTAGAATCCGATGGTTAAAAAGTGATTTTTCAATTCACATTTTCAACACAATGAATCTTTAGAAATGAACTGATACTTTTTGTGTTGCTTTTTTCTGCTTTATTTCTATTCTTTTGTTATTATGTAAACTTTTATGTCAGTCACTAACGCTTCACTCACTTTATTTTATACGTAAACTTTGTCTCTTAACTTCAACTGATGCATAACATTTAGACTGTTTGATAATACACCTGAAGTAAAGCAACAACAAAAACATTTGTAGAATTAAAATGGCTACCGTGCCTCAGTGGCCTTGTGGATAACATTTGGATGTTTGAAACGATGGGTAATACGTTCAACCCTCAGTAGGAAGAACATCACTCCGAACAGGGGTGCTGGTGCATTCAGCTGAAGAGTCCCGGGTAGGACGAAACACACGTCTACTGGTAGTCACTAAGATAAGTATTAAATGGGAACATTTTATTTTATAGCTTCTGATAAGCTGCAGATAGACTACTATCACAAAAGTTATCACAATTGACAAATAAATATCTAGTTTGAGGTTTATAAGGATCTTACTTTTTTCATCACGGATTGACAACAGTTGGAGAACCAATGAATACCTGGGAGTACTGGACAGCTGGGAGGATCATGAGTGTCTACAGCTGCTAGTCACTAATGAGCACTGGACGGTAATTTAATTTGGTGACGACGTGCTCCGAGATGAGATTTTTCCAAGTTCAAATGAGAAGTCATCACCGATGGGGCAAATCATATTGGGCATAAGGACAGGTAAACAACGATGACATTGGATGGAGGTCGCGCTACATTGTGAACTGACAGAAGTAGAAGAATGTAGATCATTGGATTCCGACCCAGCGGCTCAATGGTACCGTGCTGGTCATAGAACCTGGATTCGCACCCTGATGGAGTGATCATCAGCGCGCACTGCTGAGGAGTACACGCTAGAATGAAAAGCTATTCAGTGCTCCCAGGTTTCCAATGTTCTTCCAACTAATGTCAGTCCGTGATGAATTCCAACCTAAAATTTGTGACTGTTCACTACAATCAGAAATGTTACTACTGAAATACGCGTATCTACAGCTATGGATTACTTGACGTTAAGATATCTGTCCATAAGCAAAGAACTAGTTTCAAACAACGATGAAGGTGTATGTATCACCATTTTGAAAAGTTGAGGACTTTTGGTGATATGGCTGGGAATTAGCCACAATGGCGTAGATACATTCGCTTTTTTACACCTTCTAAGGTTTAGTTATTCACACTAACGTTTATCTTCAAATTATTTATTCTGTCATACAACTTTGTTTACCTTGATATCACCCTTTTTCTACCTGTGTTCTTTGTATACTACTGTAAACGGTGGCAACTTGAGGCCGATTCACTTGTGAACGAGGTTCTAAGTTGGTTTTGTCCGTTTAACATCTAGAAAAATTAGTAGTTAGTAACAAACAAGTTAACTTGAACATAGTTGAATGTTGGAAATATTTATCACTGGATTGTGACTCTGTGACTGAATAATAAAGTGTATGCATCTTGCAAACTAAAGCCAATCGTATAGATTGTGCACACGTTATGACTGACTGACAAAACCAATGTAGAACCTCGCCTCAAGTTGACAAACTTCATAGTAGTGCACAAAGAACAAGTGGATAGAAAAGAAGTGATATCAAAGTAGAGAAAGTAGTGTGAGACAATAAATATTTTGAAGATAATGGTTAGTGCAAATATTCAAGCTTTCGAAGATGCTTGAGAGTGAATACATGTGAGCCACTGAGAGCCACTGTAAGCTGAACATGTGGCTGCTTCCTCTAATACGGTACATCGAGGTAGGCAGTGACTCGGAATGCCCAGCACGTGTCCAAGTCATCTCAGCCGATGAAGATTCAAAACCTGATCAAATAAAATATCTATCTTGCCTAGTACCCTTTACTTGACCTCAACATTGGTCACACAGTGATCCCACCAAACGCAAGCAATGCTACGAAGACACCTATGGTCAAAACCCTATAATCGCTTTATATTTTCTACTTTCAACGGCTGTCTCATAGCCATATAACAGAAGACAACGGACTTCAGAGAAACATACTCATCTTTTGATAGATAGTGAGATATCCCACCCAGTCGGCGCCATAGATGACACAAGTTGACAAATACCAAACTAACCTTCAGTATCCAACCTGATGCAACTACTCAAGTAAGTGAACTAGTCGACACATCCCACCACTTCATGCGAGCATTATGAAATTGCTTAGAATCCCTAGTTTTTTTTAAAAAGTTTATAATCAAAATACACAATCGAATTTAATACAAATAAAAGTGAGTAAAAACATCAACATAACTTTAAAGGATAAACGACTTACTTTATATGGAACTAAATGTATAGAATCAATCACTGGAACAAGTTCACCTAATTCATCTGTAAATTCTGGACTTGTGCCTCGAACAAATTCATTCGAATCAGGTGTACTACTTCCTCCGGTTCCCGTACCGGAGGCAAGCATATTTGACAGAAATATACACGTCAAATGAATTGCTAGAAAGGAGATATTTTTAAAAACAAAACGAAAATAGACTACGAAATCAAGGCATAAGTAATACTACACAATTGTTAAATTAAAAACATTACTGATTACAATATAGAAATATAGACTAAATGTTATCGATAACAAAAAACATTGTACTCCGATGGTGGGCTTATTGGTACACAACCTTGAAGAAGTCCACCTTTGAAAACACTCAAACCTGCATCACACCAAGTTCCACAATCTGTGTTACTACTCCACAAGGTACCAAAATATAAGTCCATAAATTATTTCCAGTTACATGCAATCGCTTAAACCCATTACAATATTGAGTCACTTAGCTTAGAAGCTCTATTGTGAATCTAATCAAGATGATATTCTACACTTGTCAACCCATGTCACCTTTCGCACCCAAGATATATTCTACTAAAAAACAAAGGATGAATATGCCGCACACTAATAAAGATTTCTGGCCACCTCCATAGCATTATGTGCATTTAGCGGAACTAACACATGCGAAACACAGAGGTTACTTACATTCTTAGGTAAAATAGTTAATTCAGTTAATGATGATGTGAACCTTTATCTACAAAGATGGTTTGCAAATGCGGTACATGTACAGATCAATCGATTACTTCAATATGATATGACAGTAGATTGAGGGTGAAGTTGCAAAACAAGTATCGGTGATCAGAATAAAGTATAATATAACACAAGTTCATATTCTCAAACACACTTCTATTCCCCTCATCTTTATGGCACTGAAACAAACGACTAAGAAAGGTTTAACAGTGATTTGTCTACTACCTTTTATCAACAGAGACAGGAAACTGAACAACATGATATGCAGCCATCAATTAGTGCCTGATATGTATGGAATATAACAACTAGTTATAACCATCATCAAAATAAAATCTTATAAGTGAAATAATTGTGTAAGCGAGTATATTCATCATCATCATCAACATCAACATAGGACCAGGCATTACTGCGTAACGGTCCGAGTTGCCACACCTCATATCAGTACATCAAGTAGAAAGGTAGTGAGGTGAAAGATGAAGATAAGAAAATTTAGTCAAAAGAAATTTGAAGCACGAGAAGAAAGGAAGGACAACTGACAAAATGGTGAGAATCGGCATAGTGTTAAGATGAGGATAATGTGTGTATACATTTGTGCCACTGACATCGGTTCTGAGCCCTATCCCCTAGAGTCTCCAGCCACTGGTATATTCACGGAAAAGAAGATCGTATACTTGTTTCAAAATCGCAGTGAGCATATTATTTTCTACCAAATAAATACTTTTCAAGAGAATGCCAAGTCAGAGAACACTGAACACTAGTTGGTTAGTGTTAATCTGACAATTCTAGGTAGTGCATATCCACCATCCATTACCAGAACGAATATGAGACAATTAGATCTTAGGATAAGTAGATTACCACTCAGTTACGGGACTGGTGCCCAAATTTTCTAATCATTTCACATCAGTAGGGGTAGGAGGAGACGATCATTTAATACGATCAATGGACGTATATATCCACTTTCGATTTCACTAGCTTCATATATTCAGGTACCTTACTTGAAATGAGGGAAATCTATTTTTAAGTTAACAATTGAAAAAAAAAGCATCCTCATCAGTGAATTGGATATCGCATGCAATTGTCAGTGTGCAATGGTGAGAAGTATCAAACTCGAATGATAGAGCAGTTCATAACTCCTTAATTTCGACTGGTTTTCTAACTGATCTCAATGAGTAGCGAAAGCTAATTTAGAATCAATCAGTTTTCTACAAGCAACCTAATTGGATAATAGACTTTACTCTTAAATTTAAAAAAGTTTCTTGATTCAGAAGAAGCTTTGTTGAATGGTAGAAAAAGTTCACTTCACTGAAAAACCATTTCGCTTGTCATGAATATGAGAGAAAAACTTGTGCACTGTGGAAGAATGCGATTCCATTATGGTGTTATTAAGAATTCATAAGCCAGGTTATCCTATTAGACCTATAGTAGATTTTAGAAACACTCCGGCCTATGACTTATCTAAATATTTACCGATGGTACTAGGTTCACAATTAGAAACCGTTCTAAATTAGGACTAACTAACTCTCATGACTTGAAGCACAGAATAGATGAAATACGAGCCGATAACAGTGAAATAATGGTTAGTTTTGATGTAGTTAGTTTACATTCTAATATACCAATTGGCATGGCTTTGGAAGCAGTTAGAAATGAGGTCAATAATTAACTTACACTACGAACTAAGGTACCAGTAGAAGATATTATGTGAGGAGTACAGTTATGCCTAACCTTCACAATCAGAACTGAACTGGCGCGCAGTCATGCTTCTGTCCATCCTAAGCAAAATCTTAAACAGCATCATCCTGCAAATACTACAAAATCTTTTGCATTCAGATGTACGACCGCAACAGGCTGGATTCAGGAAAAACAAATCATGTGCGGATCAAATTACAACGCTACGCATCACCATAGAGCAGAGTATGGAATAACAGTCAACTCTTCACCTCAACTTCATCCACTTTGAAAACGCCTTCGACAGCGTTGATCAAGCAGTAATTTACAAACTGCTTCAACACTACGGTTTTAGTGTCACAAACCTTTATCAACCTCATTCAATAGCTATATGCTATGCTATATGATGAGGCTACATGCCAAGTGATTCACAATGGAAAGGTGAGTGATGATGCCTTTGAAGTGAAGACAAAGTTGTCGCCTACTGTCATCAACGATCATCCTCCTGATTGTGGTCGAGTCGACTGGACTGGATCATGCAACAAACTATGAGGAGCTGTGAGAAGATAGGCATACGCTGTTTGAGAAGGCCGATGAAAAAACCCTTGAAGATTTGGATTTCACCACCGACGATGATTTATGTCTAATGTCTTGTTGCTCAAGCTTGAAGATGCACAGACGAAAACTAACAAGTTGGTAGAAGAGGCGAGGCAGCGAAGGAGGACGGGACTTACTTCAGGTGAACGTAGAGAAGACAGAGGTGATGAAGATAACCAAGCAACAACAACAGCAACAACGGGAACCAATCACCGTCAGAAGGAGAGATCTTAAGGAAGTTGTCTCTTTCACCTACCTATCAAGGCAGGATCATTTTTTCAACCACAGGTGGCACAGATGAGGATGTCAAAGCCGGAATCGGAAAGACAGGAAGACAGGGCTTCCTTGATTAACCAGTGGAGATCTACTGCACTACACTACACTGCAGTGCACTGCACAGCACTGCACTCAGCATAAAGCGTGAACAACATCCAAATTTTCAACACTAGTGTTAGTCAAGTAAGTCAGTGCTTCTATATGATGGTTCAGAAACTTGGCAGATCACGAAAAGCATATCCAACAAACTACAGACATACATCATGAACAGCTACCGCCTACGCTCACTCGATAGTGAAGAGCAGATCAGATGGCCAGAATAATAAGAATAAGCAACAAGAAACTCTGGCTGGCTGTCTGACAACGAACGAGGGAAGGAACGAAGCAAGAACAAATATGCAGAAGAAAATGGAGATCGATTGGATTGAGTATACACTGAGGAGACCATTTGGGTCATCATGCACCAGACCAGACCAGGCCAGACCGTCGAGTGGAACCTAAATGGGAAACGACTAGTTGGGCGTCCGAGGTAAGGGTGACATTGAGGAGATGGTGTGAGAAAGAAATGAAAGCTTGTGGGGAGTTGTGGAGGCAGGTTGAAAAGGCTGTAGAGAAGAGAGTGAAGTGGTGACGTGCTAGTGAAGCCCTGTGTTGCACTAGGAACTCAAGGAACAAATAATAATAATAATAACAATAATAGACTTAATTAAGCAGAACAACTTAGTTTACGAAATCTTTTGCAACGATTACGAGGTCAAATAAATATGTCAAAGTAGTCGACCAGGCTCAGTAAGGCTATCTGAACATAGAAACCTAGCTAGGTGAAAATTGGTAAATCTTAGTAAAGTAAGAAGTTTGGAAAAAAAAGGTCAACCGTAGTTATACATGCGACTACACGCAACCACACAATAGGATAGGACAGGGTGAAAACCCTTTAAACTAACATAGCAGGGTGGAGGGAGAGATTGTTAACCGAATCTTTGTTTATCAGATCAACACTTAATAAATGCAACAGAAATGACTCAGCGCCTGTTCTGGACACATGGAAAATCTCACCACCCATATGATAAAGGGGGCAAGAAAATTCATCATCATCATCATTATCAACATAGGACCAGGCATTACTGCGTAACGGTCCGAGTTGCCACACCTCATATCAGCACATCAAGTAAAAAGGTAGTGAGGTGAAGGATGAAGATAAGTGAATGCAGTCAAAAGAAATATAAAGTATGAGAAGAAAGGAAAGAGGAGTGACAAAATAGTGAGATTCGGTATAGCGTTGTTAAGATGAGGATAATGTGTGTATACATCTGCGCCACTGACTTCGGTTCTGAGCCATATCACCTAGGGTCTCCAACCACTGGTTCCTCTTGTCCCGTGGACCCCAACCACCTAGTCTGCATCGTCCTACATGGCTTAAACCAACAGTCAGAGACTTCATACATTGGTGCCATGTTTTAGTCTGGCCACCTCGGGCCTTTTTCCAGCCTGAACCCACCTCAGCCAACATTGTGTGACGAGGCAATCGGTGACTAGGCATACGTAGTACGTGTCCCAACCATCTCAGTCGATGAAGGTTCACAACCTCGTCGACTGACTTACCTCTTCTCCCTAAAACTCTACACCTAACTTCTGCATTACTCACATGGTGACACCACGGAATACGTCCTATACTACGAAGGCAACGGTGGTCAAATACCTGTAACCTTCTCATGTCTTCCACTTTCAATGGCCATGTTTCACAGCCATACAGTAGAACAGAGCGGACTGCTGTGCAGTACACGCGACCCTTAATAGACAAACGAATATCACGGCGGCGCCATAGGTGGCGCAAATTGGCAAAAGCCAATCGAGCCTTTTGTATCCGTGCAGAAATCTCATCGGCAACTAA